AGCAGGTCCTTCAGCGCTTTGACTTCACGTACTCCTTGCCTCAGGCCACTCCCCTGTCTACTAGCCACTCGCTCTCAGCTCTGCCTTCGGATGAGTCCGTAGAGCCGAGTGGCCCGTATCCAGAGCTTGTGGGCTGCCTCATGTACCTGATGACCTGCACTCGACCTGACTTGGCATACCCTCTTAGCATCTTGGCTCGCTATGTTGCTCCTGGGAGACACCGACCAGAGCACATGGCTGTAGCTTAGAGGGTGTTGCGCTACCTGTGCGGTACGTCGGGCATGGGGCTCGTGCTTGGAGGACGGGCTCGAGTTGTCCTCACTGGTCACGCAGACGCTTCTTGGGTTGACGACTTGGCTACGCAGCGGTCGTCACAGGGTTACACCTTCAGCCTTGGTTCTGGCTCTGTTTCGTGGCGGTCTACCCGCTCGTCTTCTGTTCTCAGCTCCAGCTGTGAGGCTGAGATCTACGCTGGGGCCATGGCTGCACAGGAGTTACGTTGGCTTACCTACCTGCTGACCGACTTGGGAGAGGCGCCTCGTTCGCCTCCAGTTCTGTACGTCGACAACAAGGCCATGCTGGTCTTGTGTCAGGAGCACAGACTGGAGCACCGAACGAAGCACATTGCTCTGCGTTACTTCCTTGCTCGAGAGTTGCAGCAGCGTGGCCAGCTTCGTCTTGCTTACGTGGCCTCTCAGGCCAACACTGCTGATATTTTCACCAAGGCACTTCAGCCTTGTGATCATCAGCGTTTCTGTACTATGCAAGGTCTTGTGCCTGCAGGGCCTCACTTACTCACCTCCTGACTTTGCTTGTACTGTGATCTATATATGTACCTGTTCCTGCATGCTTGTCCTTGTTAGGTTGAGACCACTGTCTTGCCTGTTCACCTTGATTTATAATCCTGCATGTGAACTGGCCTTGTGGCCTTTGAATTTGTGCTCGGAATGTGTGGTGACTTAGTGATCCACCCTGAGCTTGACCTTGTCTTGTTCTCTTGCTTGTCCCCCACTTTGCCTATGGGGGTGTGTCGGAACCATATTGTAGGCTGTAGTGGGGTTGACAATATGGGGTACAACTCTTTTAGGTTTTTATATTTGTACCCACCTGTTTCCTAGTTCATTCATTCCTCGTACAATTCTCACAGACGAATATGCGCCGCACTCAACATGCACCATCATCACTGACGCATGCTCGGATGCCGTGAAGTTGGCGCCACTGGCCCAGTAGTGCCCATTCCACGGAACGTGTACCCCCGCGAGGCATGCATTGGGGTACAGAGATGCCATGCGCCTGCGACATTATGGGAATCGCATAGTCAATACACGATCTCGATCATGGTGTAGCGCAACCTATCACGAATAGACACCCCACTCTAAAATAGCTAGGGTTACTTACTCATCCTTGCGCAATGCCTGCTGAAACGAGCCACGAAGCATGGCACTAATGTAGAGCCAAAAGCCAATGTAAATCGCGTGCAGGATGTCAGGCATTTGCGTGAGGTAGGTGTTACCCCATGGCATGCGACTGAAGTTAACGGCCCACAAGAAGCTCTGTAGTCCATGACAAGCATGGGGTGGTTCAGTGTGCATGCTACTGGACACACCGCTTATGAAAATTGTACACTTACGAATCCACAAACCTAGCTAACTGCACATTGCATCAAACTTGTAATCCAAACTCGTATAGTAAGCCTTACCACGACAGTCAATGTCGAGAAAAGCTTCGCTTGCTCTGGGTCGCCTAGCAAGGCCTCTTGTTATTCCACGGTCCGATAAGCTGCACTGTCCTGGTCCATGTCGCGTAGGTGGCCACGGTCGATGTAGCACAGAGAGCATGGTTTGGCGGAACCAATCTGCTGCGTGCAAGAGACTTTGCAAGTCTCGGAATAGTCCGCCACGTAAGAGAAGAGCAGCGGCACTATGAATCGCGACTCCCCTGACGGATCTGTAGCTGCCAGGCCCCTGAACACATAACAATTCACGTGTATTCGGGTTTCGACGCGCTTAAGACATTAGCATATGGTATCTGATAGACACAGTGAAAGCAGTAAAGCTGTAATGCATAGTATGTGTGATCCCGGGGCTTGTATATCTTACGTATGACTCGCGACGACTAAGTCGGCAAGCACAATCTTCAACGCGGGGGACATGTCGCTCGGCGGGAATGGAAGCAGCGCCAACAGGATCTTGCCGCAGTCAAGCCAACGCCAACGAAGCGGAATGTTGGCAATGGAGATGTAGACAGCCCACACCCGAACGCGCTCGTTGCCGCTGAGAATTGTCGCGTCGCTGGACAGTATAAGCGGAACGACGACGGTTCCTTCCCCAAACATTTCGACCGCCGCCTTTTGGGCTTCTTCCCAATACGTCCCGGACTCCGGCGTTGTGTATACGCGGCCTGCTGCGGAGTTCTGCGGTCTAGGGAATAGGACGAAGCCCTCAGCATTCTCTGGGTTGCCAAATATCTCCAGCACCGCCTGCAACAAATAACATAGGGCCGGTTGGATTTGCTGCTGATACGATGCGAAAGGCACAATGACATTGAAAATGCGCGGTGATATGCTCCTGTGAACGGGAACTTACCTCCTTACCACTGGTGCTCATGACCTCAAACGGGGTGGGCCACCCAGGAATGGTGAAGGGGGCCATCACGTATACCCTCCTCGACATCAGCAGGGTCATCCCAAACTGAATAACAGCTTGTAGGGTGCGCCAGTGTCGGATGAGGTCCAGGTTCAGACGTTCCTCGAGCAATAGATTCAGGAGCCATACAGTGCTCTCGTTTGACAGCCCGCGCCCGTTGTTGCACCCTGTGATGAACAGGAAGACTTCTATCAGTGTGTCGAAGTTTGCGCCACGCTGTGGCGTCGCCTCCGCCTCGTCATCTTGTCAGAATGTTATTATTGTCTAGCCTGCAGTGGGGTACTCTATAGCGAGTACAACCCAATTAGGGTTTCCTATATGTATCTCAACTGCTGCTAGTGCAAACCCTCCTTTCTTCATTCTTGATTCTGACTGCTAGTTTTGACATGCTATCAGAGCAGGTCGACCCCCTGGGTCGATCCTGTGGGTGGGCCCCACCCGATGCTTCCGCTGCTCTACTGCTGTCGCGCGCCCCTTTCTTCCTGCCGCGCACTCGGAGCGCGCGGCGTTTTTCATCCCGCCGTGCGCTCGAAGCGTGCGGCGGTTTTCTGCCCGCCGTGCGCCCCGAGGCGCGCGGCGGTTTCCTGCTTCGCGCGGCGGTTTTCTGCCCGTCGTGGCGCCCCCGGGGACCTGCGCGCTGCCCCCCGTCGCCCGTCGCGGCGCCCTGGGGGCCCGCGCGTCGCCCTCCTCCCGTCGCCTCGTCGCGGCGCCCAAGGGGCCCGCGCGCCGGCCCCTCCCGTCGCCTCGTCGCGGCACCTTGGGGGCCCGCGCGTCCCCCCCTCCCGTCGCCTCGTCGCGGCGCCTTGGGGGCCCGCGCGCCGCCCCCTCCCGTCGCCTCGTCGCGGCGCCTTGGGGGCCCGCGCGCGGCCCCTCCCGTCGCCCGTCGAGCCGCCCTCGGGGGCCCGTGCGCGGCCCCCCCTCCCGTCACCCGCCGTGGCGCCCTCGGGGGGCCCGCGCCCTGCTCCTTCGTGGCGCCCAGGAGACCCCCCCGCCGCCTCCCTTTCCCTCCGTGAACCGCCCCTGCTGCTTCCCGCGCTCCTGCCTGCGTTAGGGTTTGGGGGTGGCGGGCATGGGGGTGACCGGTGTGGGTAACCTGCAGCTCCTCCTCCTCCTCCGTCTCCCACTGCTGCAGCTGCCGCTGAGGGGGGTGGGTGTGTGGGAGCCGAGGGTTTAGGGTTTAAGGGGGGTGCCGTGGGAGTGGAGCTAGGGTTTCAGCAGGGGGTGTGTGAGAGGGGTGTGGGACGGTCGGGGGAGGTTGCGTGGAGGCTGCCGTCGTGTCGCCTGCAGCGCCAGTAGTCCGGAGCCGTCGTGCTCTCGGTAGCCCAGAAAGCCTGCTGTGCCTGTCGCCCGTGGGTCCGTTGCTCTTGCCGCTCCTCGTAGCCGCCGAGCCAGTTACTCCAGTAGTCCGGGGCGTAGTCCCGGTAGCCACTGTGTGCGCGCTCCTGTTGCCCGTTTGTCTGCAGCTTCAGCCGTCGTCTCCAATCTTCTCTCCTCTCACAGTCCCTCCTCCTCCTCACTTGCCCTCTGTGATTACCTCTAGCTTTGCTTGTAATTGGTGAACTTACTTTATGCCTGCTTGTTGTGCTGATCATACCCCACTTTGACTATGGGGGTGTGTCAGAATGTTATTATTGTCTAGCCTGCAGTGGGGTACTCTATAGCGAGTACAACCCAATTAGGGTTTCCTATATGTATCTCAACTGCTGCTAGTGCAAACCCTCCTTTCTTCATTCTTGTTTTTGACTGCTAGTTTTGACACATCTGCGCCATCAAGCGTCTGCCTCGCGTCGCCTTCCTCCTTGGACTCGGACTCTTCACAGTCCATCGTCAATCCGTCTTTGGCCGACGGACCCTGTACAATATAAAACACACGTCGCGCCAGGCTGAGCACTTTAGTAAGACACGCACAGCCGTCACAGCAGCCGTCACGCTCCCATACCTCTTCAACATGCTCGTTGACTTCTGCAAGTGGTTCGTGCTCGGAATCGTCCGACGAGTCTTCGCTATCGGAGCCGGAGCGGTCCGGGGAGTATGCAGGAGTCAACATGACGAAGCGCGTTCTCAGGAGTCGACACTCATTGCTGCGCCGCTAGTGCCCGAACAAGCCACTGCGCGATGTATAGAGGCGCGGGCACCATTCGCAAGCGTAGAGCATGGCCGGCAACGCCATAGAGTAGTGGTGGAAGATGGCACGGGACTTCAGCTATTCTCGTGTCTTTCCAGACGCCATATTGAGTTGGATTACAATGGACCCATTTTAGTACCATGATTCGCTGCACACAGGTTTGCTATCCTTAGAAGAAATGTTAGTCTCTCAACTGAAAATCCTATCAGGTTCATCTTTCTACTCATTGAATGCCTCCATTGAATAATTCTCTAACTGGGGGTTGAATGGTTCGTTCATCTCTGTGCAATACGTGGATTGGTCAAAATCTGTCAACGCGTGATGTACCAATACTTGGATTGGTCTAAATGTGTCAACCCACGATAACCCCAGTAGTATTTGCAAGTCTTCGCGCGTGCGGCATATCGAGTGTCTTCAGCTCTCTGTCTGACGTGTCAGGGGGTTTGAGCGAGCCCTCTTACCATTTCGTCTTGTTACACAGGGTAACCTTCGCTGCGCTGATCTATTCGCCGAAACTTTTTCAGATCAGTATTGCCGCAGTGCCCTAAGACAATTCCTTGGTGGAGAAATGATGGTGGAGCAATGGTGGAGCAAGAGGCAGGGGTCCGTTTGGGCCTGATGGCCCCTCCATGGCTGCTCTGATTCAGGAGCTGGGGTTTGGAGAATTTGTTTTTGCCCCGGTCAGCAGCCTTGGGGGAAAGGAAGGGCAGACAGGCAAGAAAAGAGGGAGGGGGAGGGAGAGAGGGATGGGGATGGGGGGATTCAAGGGGGGGGATGGGGGGATTCAAGGGGGAGAGGGGGCGGTGGAGGAGGGGGGTGTGTTTGGCAGTAGGGAGGCGTGGGGAGGGGAGGGGATGGCTGGCTGTGGCGATTGGGGGAGATGATGGGGATGGGGGCCGAGAGGAGGGGATGGGGCATGGGGAGGATGGTAGGAGGAAAGGTGGGAAGGATGGGGAGATGGATACTTGGGGGGGTAGAGGAAAGAAGGAGGACGAGGGGGGAGAGGGTGAGACGGAGGAGGGAGAGGAGATGGAGGAAGGGGATGGGGGGATGGAGGAGGGAGAGGGGGGGATGGAGATGGATGGTGAGAAGTTGGGAGTCCATAGGGAAGAGGGAGAGGATGGGGAGGAAGTAGAGTAGGAGAGGGAAGAGGGAGAAGAAGGGGAGGAAGTGGGGGATAGGTTAGAGGGATAGGAAGGGGAGGAAGTGGAGGGTAGGGAAGAGGGAGAAGAAGAGAGGGAGGGGAAGGAGGAGAGGGAAGAGGGAGAAGAAGAAGAGAGTGAAGGAGGAGAAGAAGGTGAGGATCGGGACAAGTATTCAAAGGGGAGGAAGGCTGGGGAAGAGATAGGGCCGTTAAGTGTTGCAGCTGGAGAGCAGGCCCTAATTTATTTGGATAGGGGTGCAGGACTGAAAGAACAGTTTTATATGAGATATAGCCCTGATCAATTATTTTTTTAACGCATAAGCCCCCCTGAGATTTCAGGATTGTAGTGTACCAGCAGCACTGATCTGTCGGTGCCCTGTTAAAAATCACATTGAAATGTGTTGTATTGGAAAATATATCAAATCAGGGGCTAACTGTATCCCGTATCACGGGCTAATTAATATACCATACCCCCCCGGATAGTAGCGCATATGCGCTTATAATAACATCGCTTTTCTAGGGGGGCGCTTTTAATTGAGGAAAGGGCATAAGCGCATGCGCTTATATAATGACAATTACAGAAATACAATTTAAACACATCAAACTGTACATCTTTGCCTCGTGACGTCAATCGAATCGAAATTTTAGAGCGTCCGAAATCGGAATCGCGTAAGGGCGATTTTTTGACGGTGCACCGAACTCAAGCACGTCAATTTTCAGTCGTGCCAGCTCATCGTGACTGGACGCGCAACCTATGAGGTCCGCAAGAGTCAAACACAGTGAAAACAGAAAATAAATCGCTGCGAAGTTGGAAATCGTTACCGTTTTAATCAGGATGTAAAGAGAAAAATATACATGCGATTATGATAGATCAGGGTTTTACAAGGGGTGTGCTTATAATTGAGGAGCGGCCATAAGCGCCATGCTCCAGATAGAAGCGCCGGCGCTTTTAATAGGACGGCGCTACTATCCGGGTTGATACGATAGATATTCATTTCTGAGTCTGCTCCTAGGGCGTACAGCCCCGAGCAATTCGCGTCAATTTTGGGATCGGCCTACACTTCGGCACGAGCTACGGCCGAGTCGCCCCACACCAATCGCGACATTTCCGAGCCACGCACATCACGAAGTTCTCGCCTAGCATGTATTCGCCCTAAAAATGCTCGCTTTCTTCATTGTTTCGTCATTCTATAATTCATCCTTTTTATAAAGTCTTCCGCGCACTCTGTTTAGGACAACTTATAAAACTTGGTATCAGATCTACTATCCTACTTATATCCAACTGTTGCGTAGTTCATTCATTCCGTTGTACTGATTTCGACATGGTTTCAGAACCGTTCATTTTCACTCCTGTCACTGGAGCTACTGCCATCGCGCGCTGCCCTGCTCCCCGCGCGTGTTACCTGCCCCGCCCTGCCCCGTGCGGTCGCGCTGCTCCGCACTGCCCTGATACTGCGCATGCTGCGCTGCTGCCCGCGCTTCCCTGCTCGCCGCACGCGTGCCCTGCCCTGCCAAGCGCTATCGCGCTGACCTGCCCTGTGTGCCCCGCACGCCCTGCTGCCCACGCGCCAGCGCGCCCTGCTGCCAGTGCGCTCCGCTGCCCAGCTCGCCAGTGCGCCTTGCTGCCTAGCGCGCCACCGCGCCCCGCTGCCCAACGCGCCACCGCGCCCCGCTGCCCAGCGCGCCGGCGCGCCCTGCTGCCCAGCGCGCCGGCGCGCCCCGATGCCCAACGCGCCGGCGCGCCCTGCTGCCTAGCGCCTAGTGCGCCCTGCTGCCCAACGACCCGTGCCTTGCCCCGTAAGCGCCTTGCCCGTGTGCGTGCGCCCTGTCCCGCGCTATCACCGCCTTGCCCCGAGTGCCGCTACGCTAGTGCTGCCGCCTGTGCTACTGCTGTTGCACTGCTGCTGCTACTAAACCGCAACTGCTGCTATTAGCTACCACTGCCTATTATGGCCACTACCACTATCCTACATCAGCGGCAGCCGAGTGTGCATGAGTCTCTCTCGCCGCAACAACTTCGCGAGTGGGCTATCTAGTGGGGCAGCCCTGGTGGCGGAGCTAGCCGTGCTTGAGCTGGAGGTGCTGGTGCTGGCGGTAGTCGTACTTGCTGGTAGGAGACCCTCTCGTCGCAGCACCTTCGCAAGAGAGCTGTCAGGTGGGGCAGCCCCGGTGGCGGAGCCTAGAGTGCTACTACTGGAGGTACATGTAAGTCTACTCCTGCTGGTAGTGCCACTGGTAGACAGAGAGGTTCTAAAGGTGGACAGCAGCAGCAGCAGCGTCCGCCGCAGACTCTCTCCCTGCAGCAGCTTCGTGAGTGGGCTGTCCGGTGGGGCAGCCTCCGTGGTGGAGGGTTTCGGGGTACTCGTACTGGGGGTGTAGAGGCACCTGGTGGAGTAGTGGCTGCTCGTCTTGGTGCTTTTGACTCAGCTAGCGCAGGGGCAGAGGCGGAGGAGGCCTTGCACACTTCTACCATAGGCTCCGGCGCGTCTCGCTGCTTCTTCCACGACAGCACCACAATCACACCGCTCATAACCCATGTCACACTGGCCGACCCCTCCGGTGGCCCGGTAGTCGCGCGTGGCGCCACTGTTCTCCCATGTCCAGCAGCCCCTTCCGGCCTCCTCACAGGTCTCCACCTCCCCTCGTGCGCTAAGAAATTGGTGGCTACCTCTGTCCTCCAGGACGAGTGGGTCACTGTCACCCAGCCTTGAGGAGAGCTTGTGGCGATCTGTATGGACTCACGAACTGGCAAGCACCTCGCCACGTTCACTCAGAGGCCCGGGTCTGGTCTGTACACACTGACTACGAATTCTGCACTGGTGGCTGACTCAGGTCTGGTAGCTACGTCGGTTGAGGTTGCTGCGTCTTGTTCGTGTCGTCTCCTCACGCACCAGACTCTCCTATGGCACCACCTTCTTGGCCACCCCTCCTTGCCACGCCTGCGTGGCATGCACTCCCGTCTCCTTGTGTCTGGTCTCCCTAGGTTCCTGCCCCCACTTCTGAGGTCGCTTGCACCGCCCTGCCTTCCCTGCGTCGAGGGGCGGCAGCGCGCCGCTCCTCACTCCTCCTCGTCTCCTCCTACCATTGCTCCTCTGCAGACCCTCCACATGGACGTGTGGGGCCCCGCCCGCATCACTGGACATGGTGGCGAGTGCTACTTTCTGCTCGTTGTTGACGACTACGTGCGCAACACCACGATCTTCCCCTTACAAATAAAAATGGAGGTCCGCAGTGTCTTGATCCGCTGGATCCATGCCAGCTTAGCACTTGGTTCCGGCAGGACCTTCCGGTCCTAGGGCTGCACTCTGACTGAGGTGCTGAGTTTTCCTCCCGCCTTTTTGAGGACTTCTGTGTGCTGAGGGCATACGCTAGTCGTTCACGCTTCCGGCCCTTCCATAGCAGAATGGGATTGCAAAGCGCCGCATCGGCTTGGTCATGGAGGTTGCTCGCACCTCCATGATCCATGCGGCTGCTCCCCATTTTCTGTGGCCATTTCCGGTCCGATACACTGCGCATAAGGACAACCTCTGGCCCCGTGTCTCCGTGCCAGAGACCTCACCTACACTGCGTTGGACGGGGTAGGGTGGCGATGTCTGAGTTTCGGGTCTGGGGTTCCCTCTCTCTTGTCCGCGATCTGCCTGCGGGCAAGCTCTCTCCGCGATCTGCTTGCGTGTTCCTTGACTTCCCCACCGACGCACCGCGCTGGTAGTTTTACTACCCAGGCTCTCGCTGTGTGCTGTCCTCCCATGACATCACTTTTGACGAGGCGGTCATCTGCTTCTGCGATCTTCACCCCCACCGCAGTTCCCCGGTACCCCTCCCGCCGCTCTCCTTGGTTGTCGACCCCCACTCCGTTAGCCCCCTCTCTCCTCCCGGTCCTCGGATAGCTCCCTCAGGTGTGTCTCAGGTAGACCCACCCTACTTGGTTGATCCTTTGGAGGTCTCCTCTGTCACCTCTGGCCCAGCTGAGGGGGGTGACCCAACTGCTGCCGACACAGTGGCCCCTCGCCGCTCCGCGCGCCTGGCGGTCCCTCCGGGTTTTCCGCCTCGATCGTCTTCACCGCCTCTGCAGCTTGTCGATGTGGACTCTGGTGCTGCTGGAGGTGGTGACTCCTGGGATGCGGAGATGCACCGCGACAGCAGTAGTAGGGCATGTTGAGGATGTAACCGGCTGATGAGGCTCAGTGGTGACGTCATGGTCCCCAGTGTCGTCCTAACGAAGTGCCTGCAGATTGCCGATGTGCCGACCGGGCTTCCCAACAGCCGTATGCCGTCCACTGCCGCCACCAAACCGTTGGATAGGTCCTCTGTGTTTCCCGCCGGGCTCCAGGCGGAAGACTTGGTCAGGTTGCACCTCAGGCCGTGTCCGCTTAGCTCCCCGCATATCATGTTGAGTGCTTGTGTTGCTCTTGCCGGGTCCCCCATGATCGTGATATCGTCGGCGTATGCCATTGCCGTCAATGAGGGTACTTGGACTACCGCAGTCAGGAGTGCAGGTTGGATGGCCGTTGCAAACAGCATGGGTCCAAGCGGGTCCCCTTGGCGAACTCCTCGTTCGCTGTCGATAGATTGCGCATCGAATCTGCTGTCCAAGAGAAGCTTTGACAGTCTGCCATAGAGAGAGCGGACGAATGGTAACACTGGGATCAGGCTAGTCCATCGTAGCTACGAGAGAAAGCATCCACGCTCGAGGAAGTTGAACACGTTCTCGATGTCTAGCTTTGAGTGCGACCCTCATGGGATCTTTAGCAATCAGGGAGCGTGTTGTGCGTATTATGCATTCTGCCCCTCTTGGTACGGCGACTCCGAACTGCACGGGTAGGAAATACACGCGGATCTCCCCTGATAGCTCCTTAAGGGCCGCCTTAGCTGTTAGCCTGAGCAGCGCCTCTCCTATTGCTATCGGCTGAACGCCTCCGCCTAGTTTTACTAGGGCGACCAGTCTAGACGGTAGCAGCAAATCCTATATCTGCTCGGTTTGGTATGTGCTGAGCAG